AAGTCAGCTTGTTTAAAAAACTCGTATAAATATTCCTGAAAATATGCTTACGGTATTCACGCCTCCATATATAAGTAATATGGCCATCCCAAATGCAAACAAATCCTGTCTACCATACTGCCACAATACGCTGAATTAACGTGAACAAGATAATTAAACTAAGTGGCCTCTAGAATTGCAGTTTGAGTTTAGATGTATTGACAATCCCATATGATTGTGCTTTTAAATCAGATCATATACTGCTACTCACTTCATCCCCACAGATAAACAGATATGAATCCAAGTACACACGAACCATGCATGTTTATTGGATAGTCGTTTTTTTCCTTCGCCAATCTTGCAAATATGCACAAAATCCGTCAATTTGCCCGATAATCTGTTCTACACAGGGTAGTGTTCTGCGTGAAATGCTGATGATGCCGGTCGGTTGCACTGTCTCGTCACACTTGTACAAGTCTGTTAAAAACGCAAATAGCCCGGCCACTTATAACTGTAACAGGCTTGCAGCTGTGAGGGGACTTTTACCTTGTGGATTTAAAGAGATCAGCAGTTCATTTTCCTCCAGGCTACACCTTCTACGGATCCACACAACTATTGTGCACATAGTTGCGGGAGCTAGGGGTTCTGCTGCATCTTCTGGCTTGAAATGATTTCCAAGATATACAGTTTGCAGTTTGGTTTAATGCACCTCTGATTGTACAAAGAGCTAGGGTAAAACGTGCCACTGTCCTATGGAAAGACAAACAGTCCTCGCCATTTCTTTAGCCACGTAAAATATCTCCTATTCAAAACAAAATGTGACGAGTTACACCACCAGCCCAGCGCGCTTACATTCGCTTAAAATGTTATGTTACAAAAGTTTCAGAGGGGTAGCCACGTTAGTCTGTAACTGAAAAAACTTTAAAAATAACGAATAGTCTTGCAGCACCTTAGAGACTAGCAAAAATGTAGGTGGCATCATGAGCTTCCGCGGGCACGTTACCATCTACATTTTTTGTTAGTCTCTATGGTGCTGCAGGATCTTTGGAAGTTTGTTGGGGGGGGTTGAAGTTTTTTCGTGTTACACAAGGTTTGCCTGGAACATCATAATAACCAGACAAAATAATGTATAAGAAAAGGGAACAATAGCTTTAAAAGACAGAGAATGTTGCAGAGGGCAAATGTGAATGTATGTGTGTTTGTGCGTCTGTTTCAAACACAAGGACATTAAACTAAGAAGCTGACATCTGCCAATCTCTGCACATGGTCTGATTACAAGAATCAGTGTAAACGCTTTGAGCCTGTTCCGTCACCACGATTTTGCCCTGGAAGGGAAGAGACCTACCGAAAGCGCCCAGCGCATATTGCTGTGTCGGGGATGAGGGGTGCTCTGCTAATGGGAGAATGGTGACTCCACCGAGCCAGAGTCACACCCAAGTGGATACATGACTAGAAAAACTACGGGATGGGAATCAGCGGGGCAGCGGAGGAACCCAACGGCTTTGACTTGGAGACCCCTGTTCCCAAAGGAGAACTTCACACCCTCGTATCCCAGGGAGAGAAGGGGAGGCGAGAGAATGGAGCTAGCGAGCTCCTGCTCAACAATGAGCTCTCCTTGCACGAGGTGCAGCTCACACTCCTAGCCCACCAGACTGGCAGGGACTGTCCATGAACTCGTACACGATCGTCCACGGTTTGGCCTGGATGGGCAGCAGCAGAGCTGGCTGCCTGTGGCCCTCCCCTCCCCGGGAAGAGAATAGAGCTCTCCAGGCAAAGCTCTGTCCCCATTTGTCCCGGGGTGACTCCGGAGTCACTCCACAAGTGCCCCGGTTTACACGAGTGCCTGGGAATCCCCTTTCCGGCCCGTTTGCAGGACCAAGAGGAAGAGGCTCTGCCGGCCGTCGCCCGGTGCATCCGCTTGCTGCTGCCCTCAGGCAACTTAGCCGCGGAGCCGCCAAGCTGCCGCTCGCTCCCGCCCCGCCGGGTCGCCCGCCCAGGCCACCCAGGCAGCCCTGGCCTGCCCAGTGCTCACGCGCTCGTGGCAGGGTTTAAAGCGCGCGCGGGGCTCGCGGCGCTGTCACAGGCTCCGGCGGCAGCATCCCAGCCAGGCCTGTGCCGCTCGCAGCTCCCGGGCGTGAGCGCGTGCCGCCTCCACGCCCCTCCCGCCTGCAGGTGCCGGGACACTCCGAGGCGCGGCGCCGGCCTGAACCTCTGCCCCCGCTCCCCGGGTGCCAGCGCGCGGCCGCCATGGCTCCGGTGCTGCTGCTCCTAGGTGGGTAGCGCCTCGCCCAGCCCCCCGCCCCAGCGCTCCGGGCGCGGCTCGGGCACCCGCCGGCTCTGAACCCCTCTGTGTCTCCGCTTACAGGTGGCTTCCTGCTGGCCAGCTCCGCGCGGGGAAGCGGCGGCGGCTCCTCGGGTGAGTGGACCGGCTCGGTTATTTCTCTGCCGCGCCGTGCGCGCACAGCCCCTTGGACTCAGCGCCCGGGCTTCCTTTGCAGCCGGGACGGGCAGGTGCTGCGCACCGGCTGACCTAAGTCCCCACCCGGGAGCTGGGCCGGTAGCTAAGCAGAGACTGGCGCTCGGCTTTCCCCACTGAACCCGCCTTAAAAAAAAAGTTTCCCACAGCGGCGCGCGGAGGCGGCTCTGACTAGTCCCCGCTGTCCCAGCCACACACCCGAGCGCGCGGGAAGCGTGTCTCGCTGCGCACTTCTCTGTCGCCTGAAAGGGTCGCACGGCGCGTGTCCCGGGAACCCGGTCGTTCTCGGGGTACCGCTGAGGGCTAGGGGGCTCGGTTGTGCGCCAAAGCCAGGAATGGCTGAGCACACAGTAGCCTTGTCTCTCTATAAAAAGCGCGAAGCTTTTCGCATAGGATTGGCGGATTCGGTTAACCGCGCAAATGTGCAGACAAACCACCACGGCGGGTTCACGGCTCAGCCCTCACAGGGCGTTTTGTTTGTTGCATCTCAAAGCTCGCTGCGTCTCTTTACGCCTTTCAGGCGCTCCCTGTTGTACTGAGCCACTGCTCGCCGCTCCAGAGTAAAGACTGGAGCAGCATTGCAGGTCAAAACTGAATTGTCAACGTGCTCTAGTAAAGACTGGAGCAGCATTGCAGGTCAAAGCTGAATTGCCAACGAGCTCCGAAGTGCACGCGTAGTTTGTACATGGCAGGAAGAGAAAAACGCTCTTTTCAGGCGGAATGGGATATAAGCACCTGCTTTTCCTTCCCGGCACACTATGTCTCTGACTGTGAAAGAAGAGTTTGTGATGGGGTAACTGTTAATTAACATATCTTTGTGAACGTATATTGTCCTCCTTCCCTCTGGCCTCGCCCTCCCCCAAACAAAGGAAACAGAGCACAGCTTGCAAATGGAAATATCCACACAAAAATATTGGTATTATTTTAACTTTTTCCTTTATCACCAGAAGTATAGTAGGTGTTTCACAGGTAAGATACCTGCTAATAACACGAATAAAACACCCCGAAAAAGCTAATAAACAGATTTTAAAAGTGGAGGCTAGCATACCACACAAAATAAAATGAGCAGCTTTGTATATAGAATGTTTATTTTTTTGGTTTCATATTATTGACGTAATTCTCTGAGGGGAAAACAGGTTTATAGCTATCAGACAACATTTGTCTTTTAAAGGTGAGAAGCATAGAAGAAGATGGAAAAGGCTGGTATTTCCAGTTTTTATGAAAATCGGTTCAGGATAGGTTGAAAAACTTTCATGAGGCAAAGCTATCAAACTTCTCTGTAGTGTAACAAATAGAACAGCAAATGTAGTCATGTGTGCTTGAGACACACCGAGAGCTTAAAAAGGATTTGACTTCTAACAACTTCTGAACATGACATTAAGAATAAATGCAAACACTTTAAGCCTGCTCTTTACCTTGAAAAGAAAGAAACACACAGAAAGTGCTCAATGAGCATAACACCAAGTATCAGGGATGAGAGAAGCTGCTGTTGGGAGAATGGTGACTCCATGGAGCCAGAGCCACACACAAATGGACACATGGAAGTAGAAAAACTAAAGAAAGAGAATGAAATGAGCAGCGAAGGAGTACAACCACTACAACCACTACGTCTTGGGAACCATGTTCCCAAATGAAACTCTCTTCATTCCTTCTATTAATGGGGGAGAAGTGGTGAAGGGGCAAAAGAAAGAAGCCAGAATCTTTCCTGCTCAGCAATGAACTCCTGAGCACAGGAAGCAGAGCACCATCTTGACCCCTAAAAGGTGAGCAATTTCAAATTTATATGCATAATATAAAATTTCATTTGCTATTTTTATTTGTTTGCTTTAATTTTTGGCAAACTCTTTAACGTTAGTATGATGACCTGGTATCCAATTGCTAGATTCAAATATTTACTCAGGACCTCAGAACTAGCCTGTAATGCAGATCCTAAAGCAGGGTCAATTTTGCCTGTTTCTTTCACAGGTACATTAAAGGAAGGGGAATAGCTTGCTGTGCTGGCATGAGACAATGGAAGAGCTCTTTAGAATTCTTCCTAACTGTGGTAAAGTCCAGTAGATTAAACGTATCTGTCAAAGAAACTAATATTATATTGCAGGGACACTGGCAATTTAATTTATTCCCTTGCTTAGGTTTGCTTTAAATGGTTTTCCGAAAGATAATATTAATAGAAATGTGTATTAATTAAAAAAAGAAAATAAGTTTAAAATGTTTTTCACCAGCACTTCCTACAAATATGACATTAGCTTGTCAGAGGTTTGGGGCAATATTTTTAAAACCACTTAAATTTCATTTTAATAATAATTGAAGAATCTAAGTCTCATTGAAAGTCAAGGATTTAGGCTCCCAAATTACTTAGGTGTTTTCAACATTTTTCCTTTTAACCCTGCTCCCATTGAAAACCAGAGGACTATTTCAACTCACTTTAGTGGGAGCTGTATTAGGTTCTAGATGCCACAAATGAAACTGACCATATCTGCCCTATCCTAGAAATGCCCGTGCATGTTGCTAATTTGTTGGCTGGTCTTAGTTAACACTACACTATTAAAAAGGAAACAAAACAGTACAAAATGAAATGTCAAAACAAACAAAACAAAAACCCAAACAGTATAGCCACAGCCATCCAATACATTTTTAAACCCAGTTATCCTTGTCCATGCTCGGGGCAAAATTGTGTTTAACATTGTATTAGTCTAAACCTGTTAGTTAATGTTTTCCAAAATTATGCATTTTCCCAGCATAGACAAGACCTGTAGGACTATTTATGTGTGTAATTTAAACACATGCTTGTTTGAAGGCTCAAGGTAGAAAAGGAAACTGAATACAACAGTTTCATTGTCCAAACAGCACAAAAATGGCAAAAGGAAAAAAAAACAGCATAAGCAGTTACATGACTAGAAATTATTTCACTCTAATTTTGCAGTTTATAAAAGTTAACAAAGAAGCTGGTTCCTTAAATATTTTGGAACAGATTCTGCTCTCTTCTATACCCAAGCAACACAGGGCAACATAGCCCCACATTTTGTTGTGGCTTTTACCTTGATAGACTCCCTTAAAATATTTGGTGACTAATTCAAAAGTAGTGTGAAAATTGTTCATTTTTTTGCAGTATTAACTAGCAGAACTGTATAGTACAAAGAATGGTAATTTAGGAAAGTATTTGGTAGAAGAGCTATGGAATGTGTGATTTGTCCTAAAGGTACCTAAGGTTGTGAGGCACCTCACTACTGCCAACCCTTAGTATGAAGCTGCCCACTGCGGGTCAGTTCTCTGAAAAGCACAAGCACTGCTTTTGCGACCCCTGTAAGCTTCACCCTATCTGTGCAGGCACAGACCAATGCCTGAATACTCAGGGTATGTCTACACTACAAAGTTAGTTCCTGCCAACCCTTAGTATGAAGCTGCCCACTGCGGGTCAGTTCTCTGAAAAGCACAAGCACTGCTTTTGCGACCCCTGTAAGCTTCACCCTATCTGTGCAGGCACAGACCAATGCCTGAATACTCAGGGTATGTCTACACTACAAAGTTAGTTCAAACTAACGAACAATAGTTCGAACTAACTTTCATAGGCGCTACACTAGCGCTCCGTTAGTTCGAATTTAATTCGAACTAACGGAGCGCTTAGTTCGAACTAGGTAA